CATGGAACAATGCCATGAACTCAATTCCTATGCACTTCTTTGTTTTAATTAAAAGAATTAGGTTGCGTGCCTGATGTTAGCACATTGTGGAAGAATTCTTTTCTTGTTTTATGAACAAAAAGACATCTTGACTAAGATAAAGATATTTTTATGAAGACTAGTAAGCATGCATGTGCTTTGCATGTTGCAATTCTAGATGATAATAATGATAGTAATAATATATTCAAATTTATCTATAAATTTTGTGTATTTTTTATTTTTATATTTTTTTATCATTAATCAAATGCAGATTACAAAATCTATATCTGATTACATAAGCACCTCATCCAAATATGTGATAATCAGATTGAGTTGTGAAGTTTCAAGTATCACTGACAAGCCTATCTTTTGGCTAGACTTATTTTTTTAGTGTTTTCTCTTTTTGATGTATTAAATAGAGGGAATTGAATAAGGTGAAAAGTGGTAGATCAATTTGACTTGGTAGGCTGATCAATTTGATTTAGATTGTTGAATTGCTTAACCATCACTTGGATAAAAATGGTTTTGTTTTTGAGTCAGTTTTAAAATATATGGGTTTATATTGTTAAAAATATCGACATAGATCTAATTAAGAACATTTATTAGTGAAAAATAACTTAAAAATATAGGATTTAATAAGAGAAAATGGAATTTAATATCTTAAGTATAAGACTTAATGGGAGGGGATTAAATGAGATGGAAAGTAATAATTGAAATTACATTTTCAACCCTTACAATTAGAGATGGATTAAATACAAAAATATAGGCATTTTAGTAGCCATTAAAACTTGCACTAAAGCTATAATAAAATTTCTTTTATACATTTTCTCAAACAAAGAATAGAAGATAATTTTAGTCCAAAAAAAGTTTCATATTGCATCTACACTTTTGTATAGTATAGATATTTTCATATGAAAGAGTTTTTTYTCTCTTTTCTCATGATATTGGGTATCAGATTTTCCTTAGTAAAAGTTAAACTTGAAGTATTTAATGTGAACTTATATCTTGACCTTTATTTGCATACTTACAAAGCTCGTTCCCTTACATTAGTTTCTTCCAAAGTGGAAAGCTAACATATCTAAAAATTAGGAAACAATTATTTTATTAGCCCTTTCTATGAGACTAATGATAGATAAAAGTAACAATTTTGAATAGTGGCTCTATGCCAACTTGACTCGTACTAACAAATTCTTTTTTTCTATACACAAACATAGAATGCTAGTAATATAAATTTAGAATTCATCATGTAGTTACATCCCAATTTAGAATGCTAAACCACATGTAGGGCTATAACTTGCAAGGCTGTAACTAAAGAACCTAGATCTCAACAAAAACCCTACACACATGACATCCAATCATACATTGGAGACATCTCTTTATTAATTTCACATGCTTGTATGGACCCCCTGCTTTCAGAGTGTGTGTAGAGTTTTTTCTTACCCAAGATTCCATCACATAATCCAAGCACAACCCAATCAATAAAAAATTTTGAACTGATTGAGCTTCAGTCTTGGGACTTCAGCAAGGCTGCATTTGGCAAACTTAGGCATGAACTAAACTCAAGTTAGGTTTGGACTTAGACTTCGAGCAGCCCAAGTCCAATTTGATCTCATTTGAGCCTGCTCAATCAACATTCTATAATATAGCACTTACGTATATAGGTGCATTATATATTCATTCTATCATATGCACATAAGAATATTTTGTCATTTTACAACATTTAAGACTAACAATCTTGACCCCAACCTATTTGATCCATCCAATCCACCCACCTTGGAATCCACCCATACCCATCCAATCAATTTGTGGGTCAATATGGGTTGAGTAACCCAATAGGATCAGTGGAAAAGGGTTAGGGTGGGCTGGGTCGAGGGTACCCATTAGGGTCAGGATGGGTTGGGTCACGCGGATCAAGATGGGTTGGATCAAAGTCAACTTTATCTATACTCGAAAAAACAGAAGTTGCAACGATTCAAACTCAGGCCTCCTAACATGCCCACATCTCATTACACTTCCAAACCACCATGCCACATTTCATTTTGAGATTAAAAGTGAAATAAAATAGATTTTATTAACTTTCATGTTCACATGCAATTTTATACAAAAGCACTTCTTACAAAAGAAATTTTATACAAAAGCACATTTACAAAATCAATTTTATAAAGTAATTTTCTGAAAAGGGCTTTTATGAAAGTACTTTTATAAAAGTACTTTTACAGAAAAGCACTTTTATAAAAGTATTTTTCCGAAAGTACTTTTAGAAAAAAAAATTTACACGAAAGCACTTTATGAAAGTACTTTTATGAAAACACTTTTATGAAAGCATAAAAACACTTTTATAAAAGTAATTTTATGAAAGAACTTTTACACGAAAGCACTTTTATTAAAGTACTTTTATGAAAGCACTTATGAATGCATAAAAGCACTTTTATAAAAGTACTTTTACACAAAAGTACTTTAATGAAAGCACTTTTATAAAATTACTTTTATGAAAGTACTTTTATGAAAGCACTTTTATAGAAGTACTTTCATAAAAGTACTTTTGTGAAAGCACTTTTATAAAAGTTATGCATTTTTTTGCATTTTCTGCAATTTTTTGTTATTTTCTGCATTTTCTGTAATTTTTTGGTATTTTTCTATGTTTTCTAAATTTGTTTTGGTATTTTTCTGCATTTATACAAAATTTTGGAGCTTTCGTACATATTTTTTTTCACTTTTGGTGTTATTCATGCATTTCCTACAATTTTCTGGTATTTGTTGCATAGTTTTTAATTTTTTCTACAAAAGTTCTGAATTTTCTGTAATTTTTTGTTTTTTTTTTGTATTTTTCGTAATTTGTTGGTATTTTTGGTATTTTTTGAATTATCTGCAATTTTTCTACTATTTTCTGCACTTATCTATAATTTTTGCATTTTTGAGTATATGGGTTGACCTGACTTGTTTTTGTCATGTGGCAGTCTTGAAAGAAATTATTCTCTCAAAATTTATTATTTTGGGTATACGGGGCTGTCCCAACCCATTTTTGTATTTATAAGTGAGGGTAGGTGGGTTAGTATGGGTGAAGGTGGTTAAGGGTCCATATGGATGGGTCAATTGGGTCAATATGGGTGGGTTAGGGTTAGGGTGGGATATGACCCTTTAACAAGGATTGATGATGGATTATGGTGGGTTGGTATTCAACCCTTACCCAACCCAACCCACCCATTTGATACCCTTAACAACATTCTTATGATTAACCTAAGCTCATAATATAAATACACATATTTTGCATGTTATCAATACATAAACAACTATTATATAATACGTATGTGTTATGCAAAACCTAGTAAATAGAGATAATGAGAAGCTAGAAATACAGTACACACAGATTTACATGACTCGACTTATAGCCTACATCCACGGGTGAAGGAGAAATCGAAATCCACTATAAAAAATAAAACAATACTGGAAATTATAAAATTGTGTAAGCACTCTATCAAAAAAACCCTAAACTCCAATACACCCAAACTCACAAACTCAAAATCTTTTAAAAGCCAAAGATGTATAAAAGACAATCCTCCAAACAGCATATAATATATGATAGATCAGACCCATAAGCAGAATATGAATTGGGTCCAAGTTTTATTTATTGGGTTGAAGCTTAAGCTATGATTTATAAACTCAGATTAACCTCAGGTTGGCCCTAGGTTTGACCTTCAACCCAACTCAGCCAGGATAAGGTTCATTTTGTAAAACAAATTGAGCTCGAAAACCTTAAAATTTGATGAGTTTATCCCTAAGTTCGACCTCAACCCAAACCCAACCTATATAGTTATAGATTCTAGATTAAGTGAATTTACTTTGAAACAGCTTACAGTTGCATTTACTAATAGACCCAATCCTGACTGTTCTGGATATAAAGGAACCATATATTGGGTCAGACACGGCATGGGTCTTGGGACAATCTGAACCTGATAAGAAGCACCACCATCCCTTGAAAATTTGAATCCGGTTAGATATTAAGTAGCTAGAGAGACAGTAAATTACTTTTCTTCTTTTTCTCCCTTGAACTTGAAATGCAGTTGGAGTAAAATTGTTGGTGTTCTATCTTGTATTTCCCAAGTATTACTTTTAATTTGTGAGAGTGGAAGAACTCTCAAATATATAAGTGAGAGTGTGAGACTAAAAGAGAACCTTTTCTCCCTAGGCACTGCTCTTTATAATCTAAGATTAGGGCTGCCACCTCAGCCAAGTTTGAGAACCACTCTCATGCAATTGAGAGATTGGTTAGGTTAACTCTTACACATGTTTTCTTATATAAGAATTAGTGGTTTTGCCAAAGGGCCCACACCACTACAATATGATATGAACCTATGTGGGCTTGTTACAAATAGATTCCTGGGCCATGAGCCATTGGCCCTCGGCATACCGAGGCCCATATTGACCCACTTATTTGGCTTAAAAAATCACTTGTTTCCACGGTGGAGGAGTTGTTGGATCTATAGTGGATACTTGATCCCATTTACACATTTGAGAATCTTACCATCGAGTAAAACTAAAATCTTTAGTTTTTTCTATATATTTAAATATTAATACTTGGATCTCCCTTCGGAAAAGAAAAGGCTAGTTGGGCTTCTCATTTAGAAAGAAAAAGTTAATTGGGTTTGTTAATATCTTTGTCCCATTTTGGTATCTGGAAGTTATCATGCGTTGGTTCCATTGTTTCATTTTATTATATTTGATATCTGATAATCAGTTAATCACACTCCACACTCCCTCACGCAGAAATTGGGGAAATAGGGAATCTAATTATCATGGTAGTGTTTATGATATGTAGATTATGCTCAATAAGTGTGACAAATCACTTTATAAGTTGCCTTTCAATCCAGTCTTACAGCCACTTCCCTGAACTCAATTCCCTGAGCTCTACCTGGAACCATATCTCCCCAGTATTTATTCAGGCTTTATCAACTACTCCGGTCTTTGATATAACTCGATCGGCAATGGTGGTCATCAAAGTGGAACACTACGATAAGACATACACAATCGAGAAGAAATGCAAATCAGTCATAGACATACGCTTTTATCTTCAGTTTCATGTACCCTTCGATGATCAACTTCTATTATACAACGGAAATCTTCTATTAGATGGGAGGACGGCTTTATCTGATCTGGGCATTGAGGAGGAGGATGATAATGAAGTGAGGATGAAAGTCCACAGGAAGATTCGGCCTCAGATCATCACAATCACCGTTCACACAGGGTGCGATGTGTTATTCCTTGAGATATCAAGCGTCGACACAGTTTTCAGTCTGAAAAAGATGATCGATGAGCAGGTGGGTATATCTCCACGGCGCCAGAATCTGAGAACGCTGGGAGTTCCGATGTATGACCAGTGGAAGCTGGAGAGGTATGCAATTTCCACTACACCCACTGTTTTTGTGTCGGAGACACCTCAGGACCCACGGTGGAATGTAGCCATTACTGTGGAGGTTCCAACCACTGGGCAATCAATGGTCATAAATGTGGAGAAGTATGACACAGTTCACACACTGCATGGAATGATTCGTCGTGCGGGATTAGCAGATGAGGGACGTGATTTCCATCTTGAATGTGCAGGCACGCGACTTGATGGGACACTGGACATAATTAGTTACGACATTGAATCTGGGGACACTGTGACTTTGATTTATCACTGATGAGATTAACAAGACGGTGATTCATGATGGGCAATATGAGAATAGTAGTAGTAGTATTAGTAGGAATGATGGATCAGACTGATGGGTCGAGCTTCTTGTTTATCATATAATCCTTGTAATTCACTTCTCAAAGAGGTTGCAAGGATTATATGATAAACAGGAAACTCGACTCATCAGCCTGATTCATTATTCGTTCTAATTAGTAATAGTAGTAGTATATGATGAATAAGATAACATGGTGAGAAGGGTTTGATTTAAGTTTTAGATATATCAAATTAGTATATGGTGTTTTCAGATTATTAGATTATCTTCTTATTAATTGATGAAATGGTTTTGGAGCCCTTTTAGTTTGTGAACATATATATGCTCTTACAGATAAGTTTCTAATAATCCTCACTACCCAAATAAAAATGGTTGATGAGGATGAATTGATGATAATGGTGGTAAGAAGAAGATCTAATTCTGATCAGTGAGGTTCTCTCCATTCAAGGAAAGAAATTTTTTCTTAGATATACAAAAAGACACAGAAAGACAGTTTAGAACATCTCATCTTTCAGGGATATCTCCATTCAAATAAATAGATAAAATTGATGATAAAACTATCATCTTTCAGGGATATCTCCACCAATTTAGAACATATTTACATTCTTGGAATTCCCAGATGACTTATTTTGTAGTATCCTTGAAAATTTAGTTCTTTATTTCTTTTCAGATTTATGACTTCTCTTTAAGCTCTAGCCTAACAAACGAGCTTCAGCCCAACATTCTCCCGCACAAATGGGTTGTTGGTTTCATTCACTGTTGATGAAACTCTCCACAACAAGCTCGTGCATTCTAGCTATGCACTCCCCTCCACTCAGCCGTTCCAACTGCAGACAAAAGGAACTGGTTGATGAGTCTAAGGAATTACAACTATTTTGTTTTGTCAGGAAATGCAAATCCAATGCTTCTGATTTCTGAAAATGAAAGTTAAGTCATCCGAACAATAATGAAACAGTTCTTGTATTAGACCTTTCTGTGAAAGCAAATATCGACCCACAAAAGTAATAATTTTGAATGGTAACTCTGTATGCCAACCTAACTCGTTATGGCAAATTCTCTTTTTCTACTTCATATCAAGGTTTTAAAAACCGAACCTGACAACGAACTGGTCAGGGGTCCGGTTCTCAGGTCGAACAGTCCGACCGTACGAACCAAATGGACAGTCCATTATAAAAAATTAAAAAAATTAAAAAAATTAGAAAAGGCCAAAACCATTGGATGGTTTGAACGGTATGACCGTCTGGATCAGTGGTTTGCTGACTAAATCAACGGTTTTTGGCAAAATAACGGTTCTGGGGTAAAACGAAACCAGTCACCTGACCGATTCCTGGTTTTTTAGGTCCAACTGTCCGGATCGATCCGATCTGGTTTCGAAAACCATACTTCATATTATCATACACACAAGGAAATGTCGTTCAGAAAATAACAGAAATTTGAATTTCATTGCAGTGTTCTGTATCCATGCTTCATGTTATCATATACACAAGGAAATGTCGTTCAGAAAATAACAGAAATTTAAACTTCACTGCAGTGTTTTTTATCGTGGTGATGCATGTCGGTCGCGGTTCTGTCTCAGTCAGTGTTTTTGAACCATAATTGACCCGGATGGTCAGACAGTTCAGCCCAGGAACTGTCCAGTCAACCAGTTCCATTTCACCCTTAACCCATTCTTTAACCAAAAACTGATGACTTTGGTCAGTGACCCGCTGACCCAAGCAGTCAAACTAAACTCGTTCAACCCGAACAACAGTTATTTTTGACATTTTTATTTTTTAAATTAGAACAGGCCATCCATTTGAACCGGATGATCAAACCACTAACCCAAAAACTGGTGGCGAATGTAATTCCGGTTCCGGGTCATTTTTTAAAACATTGGTTTCAGTTATACATCAGTGCCACATAATCCCTTATGCTTAAATCTTTTCTTGTAGACTAATCAAGTGCAAACGTTTTATACTTTGAAACACAATACCACCATACCAAACATGGCACCATATTTACTTAGGGCTACAACTTGAGACTAGGGCTGCAAGTCAGGCTGGGATAGGTCGAGTTAAGGCCAACCCTAGCCCAACCCTAAGTTCTAAACCCCAACCCTAACCCTAACCCAACCCGACTAGCTCAACCCTAACCTAACCCTAACTAAATTCCTTCAACCCTAACCCAACCCAACCTTCTTCCCATCCCTTAAAACCTCATAGAATATCTCAATTTTAAAACTTAACTCAACTTTCACTACATATATTAATCCTATGTTTCATTAGTATTTGTTTGTTGACATTTTTTTTTGTTCTTTTGATACAAAATTCAAAAAAACAAGTGTTAGAAATGACTATAGTTTATTATGAGTTATGGATTACGATAAATTTTTCTTGGGCGGCAAACAACATAGACGACATGAAGAATAAAATTTTCAAAAAACATAAAATAATGTTATTAAGGTTTTAATCTTTCATATTAGGATTAAGTGAAGTGATGTGATTATCTTAAAAGAAATACATGATACTATGTGGTGGGGCTATACAAATGTCATGCATCTAAACAAACCAATGTATGTTATATATTACATATAACATATATTTATATATTACATGTACTATAGAGTCGGGTTTGGTTTGGGTTGGGTCGGGTCAAGTTGGCTAAGGGGTCAACCCTTAACCCAACCCAAAGTAAAGTCGAGTTCATGAATTTCAACCCTAACCCTAACCTAAACATCAACCCAACCCAACCCAACTTTTTCGGGTTGGATTCGGGCCAACCCGGCCCAAGTTGCAGTCTTACTTGAGAGGATCAAACCGGAACTTTTATACTGATTGGGCTTCAATTTTTAGGCCCTAGCAGGGTTTGGCCTAGAAAACATGGGACTATCTGAACTCAAGTTAGGGATGGGTTGAAACCTTGGTTAGCCAATCCCAATTTGATCCAACCGTGAGCCTGTTAGACATTCAATAATATACATACATCTACACATCTACACATCTACATATACATATATATTAATTATTTTAGGATACTTTTCATTTACATATGCATATGATTAACCCAAACTCATAGAATGCAAAAGCATAAGAAAATACACATATTATGCACATTTTTTCTCTGCACACACATATTATGTATGTTATCTATACACAAACATCTTTATCTAAAATATGTATATCAGTATATATAGTATTGGTAGTATTTGTATATATTTTTAATGTGCATTATTTCTGATTTGGTCTATAAAATGCACTCTAAAACCTTTTAAACCCAACCAACTCATACTGACCCAAACAAGTTCACCCAAGCACAATCAAGCCAAAGGCTGGCCCAAGTTATGTTGTGTTAAGCTAAGGTTTATAAACTCAGGTTGACCCACAACCTGGTCCAACCTGGATTCTCAGTTTGCAAAASAAGGTAGACTCGAAAACCTTGAAAATTCATGAGTTTAGCTCACAAATGCGCCACCTTAGGTATATTAATTGACATCCCTAACAAAAATTTGACCCAACGTGTATGGTTTTAGATTCTAGATTTAATTAATTTTGAAACTGCTTACAATTGCTTTTACTATTAGGCAATAGACATAATCCTATTAAGGGACGTAGGAACTATTTTTTGGTCTTGGGCCCCCACGACTTACCACCTGTCCCATATTTTAAGAATCAGACCAGCCATTGAATTGGCAATTAAAAATTATATGGCCGTATTGCCTAATTGATGTGGCTCAATTGGTAGGATCTCTAGTTTTTTGTAGTAATAGGGGGGATTCGAGTCAAGCAAAGCCAAATATTTGGCTAGTCAAACTCGGTTCAGCAAAAAAATATGGCTCAAATTTGATTTAAGCTAAAAACATAAGTTTAAATTTGGTTTGACTCAAAAACTTATATGTTCAAGCTCAAATCGGCTTGAGCTTGACAGTGAGTCAAGCTTCATATGTACATTTAAAAGGAGAGACACAACTCCCTTGAACTTGTAATTTATTTGGAGTAAACTTGCAGTGAGACTCAAAGAGAAGCTTCTCCCTAGGTACCGCTATTTATAACCTAGGATTAGGGCTGCCACCTCAACCCACTTGATAACCACTCTCATGTAACTATGTTAGTAATGCCCCATTCGCTTTTCGGTAAAATCACTTACTTGGGTAAATGTATTTACCCATGTTCTTTTATTTCCCATGTAAATAAGGTAATGACAATCTTAGCCATAAAAAATCCATTATTAGAAGGGGCATTTTTGTCCCATCTAAGTATTGGCAACTTTCCCCTAGATGGGAAAGTTAATTTACCCACCTAGGAGATGGGTATCACTTACCCGGGTAAGTGATACCAAGGAAAATAAACTTTCACTAGTCTCTACATAAATCTGAAAAAAGAGCATGGGTTTCTTGGTCAATGGGAATCAAAATCCCATTAACCAACTTTCCCCCTCTCAAAATCTAAAAAAAGAACACCCCCTAAGTGTACATGTGCTTTGATATATGGTAATTCTAGACGATAATAATGATAGTAATGATATATCCAAAATTTTCTATAAAATTCTTGTATTTTTTTTTATATTTTTTCATTATTATTTGGATGCAGATTGCAAAATCCGAATCCAATTATGTAAACACCTCATATTGGGCTACAAAGTTTTAGGTATCAATGACAGGTCTACCTAATTGGATGAATTCTTCTTTTTGTAATGTCCTGTTTTCATAGTGTATCTTTTTTGTTCATTTATAAAAAAAATACAATAAGATTTAAAGAAATAAATAAATGAGATGAAAAGTAGTAGTTCAAATTATATTTTAAACCTTACAAATTAAACAAGGAGTAAATTTGAAAAATGGGTATTTTAATCAAAAGAAAGTTTCACAATCTTATTCATATTTGAAATAGTAGTGTAAATATAGAATTATAGATGTGTTTAATCTTTTTTATAATTTTTTTTTATCTGTGTAAAAATAATTTTGTTATGTATGCTTATTTTTT